GGAGAAAGCAAGTAATTTCGTTATGCAAAGCGGTGCTTACATGAGATGTCACTAGCAGAAATGATTTCTTGAGACAGAGCAAATGAGAATAAACAAAGCAACAAAATGATTGCTCTAGGAAAGAGAGAAATTAGGAGAGAATTTTGAAATATGAAAATACCCTTTTTTTATTTTAGCTCATTTTTTTATTTTTTATTATCAATTTAAAATGGGAAATTTGTGTCTAGGCCCCAAAAAAATAAAGACGCTGTGACCAGGCCCCCCATACTTTTTTTTTGTGTCAAACCCCTTATTACATAAAGCACTTATTTCTAGCCCCTGTTTAAAGTTTCAAGACAGCACAAAGAGAATTTTTTTTCAGAAAGCCAAAATTGCCCTCCTCTCTCTCTCTCCTCTTTTCTCTCTTCTCTCTTCTCAGGCTCAAAGCTCAGCCATCTTGAGAACCCAACTTCAAAACCCTAGTTTTCAGTCCATTAAAGCTCAGTCATCTTCTCGAAGACCAAGTAGTCAAAGCCTTTTTTCTTTTCCTTCTGATGTCACAGGTAGCTAAAGCCGTTGAGAACGTAATCTCTCTATCAATCCCCCAGCATAATCCTCTATCAATTCCCAAGCAGAAGAATCGGTGCCAAAAGGAGGAGCTTCAAGAGCTTGAAGAGTAGAAAGCAGCAATAGATAAACTCGTAGAGACTGGTGTTAAAAGGGAGTTATGGTGTGGTCTTGGATTTATATTAATACAAACAATTGGATTGATGAGACTTACATTTTGAGAGCTCTCATGGGATGTAATGGAGCAGTGGAAAAGCTCATGAAGGCCTACAGTTTTGATCTTAATAGCTTTAATGAGCTCAAGAAGGGTTGTGCTACTTCTTTGGCTTCATTTCCTTCTGAGGGTTGTGCTAGCTTTTTTTGTGATTGCCGTGGAAAAGGGATGCAGGTTGCATTTTGAAGTCATTTGCTTGGTGGAAAAAGAATACTGAAACAAATTACATTACATTGTTAAATCAAATGTCGAAAGAATCATTTTTCAAATAGTGATATTGTTCTTATGGTATGTGTTTTCGTCTCAGTGTTAGGCCTAATTACTATCTGCTTAGAGTTGCTGGAACTGAATTGTTTCTGAGTGAATGTTGCAATTGTAGATGAGAGCAGATGGGTTTTGGTCTCCCGCACTCTCATCGTGGTAAATTTCAAAAACTGTGATGGATTTTTAGATAATTTAACAGATTCAAATGAAAAATTACATGTTTACTTGAATGATTACATTTGTGACCTATGTGCCCTCTACGGCCCAATATTCACCCTCCGGGAGGGCTCCCGTACTCTCATTGTCATCACCAGCGCCGAGCTGGCCCAAGAGGCCCTCATCACCAAAGTGCAAGTAAGTGTGTAATGAGTGTGTACAAACTTCATTGGGGTGATTGTCAATATATTGTTTATATGTCGAAAATCGTTGGTGTAGTATGTTAAAAGCTTTGTTGCTCATTCCTTGGGATGTTTCTGATTAGCATTGTGAATTTGAATGATTGTTGGTTTTTAAATATAAGCGGCTTGATGCAATGATTTGAATGATTGTTGGTTTTTAAATATAAGCGGCTTGATGCAATGAAATTGATGCTGACAGCATTTAGTGTGAGATATTTTATACTATGTAGGATTTGTTGTTTGGCCCTGAAGCTTAAGCACTTTGTGTATGTTCTAGCTTCAAAGGGGGATGTGTTTTATATACTTGTTATATTTTGGACTTGTGAATGGTGAAACGGGATTGGAGATGTTTAAAGTGGATATCCTGTACGAATTTTTGGTGCTTTATCATTTTTCCTGTGCCTTACTTGTCATTCAGATATTGGGTTCATGGATTGTTCATGTTTCATTCCCCAGCTATGGCAATTGATGTTGATCTGTGGTCTTATCATTGAACATACAGTTTGTGAACTACTTTAGAAACACTGACATTGAACATATATGCAATTTAACTACAAGTTGATCTTTACTATGACTTGTATGAATAATTTTAGTTTGGTTGGTCTGCTAATATGAAAATGACATCCACCGGCATTAAGTAGAGCTTATTCATATCATAAAGTGCATTATATGTTAGCTCTCCTCGTAAATTATATCAACTTTCACCATTATATGTTTAACTCTCCTCGTAACATGTTAACTTTCAGCTGAACATGTTAACTTTCATCATAATATGTTAACTTTCATTGTTACATATTAACTTTCATAATAATATGTTAACTTTTAGCTAAAAATGTATATTTGTAGCTTTTACTGTTTTGTGTCTCTCTTATTGTTGGCTTGGTTCATGCCGTTGTGATCTTTGTGTCTCAGTTTGTGTGTGTAAAGTGAGGTGGGACCTGAGCACAGTTGATGATTAGTTTGAGAAGTTAGCAAAATTAACAGAATGTTTTGTTGTAATCTTTATTTGAGTTTCAGCAGCATTCTATAACAGGAAAAGCTAATATTTAACATGTACATTTGACAAGTTAACATCTTCAGTTGCATGTTATCATGTAATAAAGAAGGCTGACATGTAATAGTAAAATTTAACATACTATGCTGAAAGTTAACATGTTCATAAGAAAGTTAACATGTGCAGATGAAAGTTAACATATACTGCTAATAGTTAACATGTTCACATGAACGTTAACATATACACCTGAAAGTTAATATATACAGATGAAAGTTAACATGCTCACGTGAAAGCTAACATGTTCAGGTTAAAGCCAACAAGCTTCATACTTCTTATGCAATGAATCAATTTCTCACACATGATTGAGTACACACCAAATTGTTGATCCTCCAGCATTGTGATTTTAAGCATGTTTAGGATCACAATAGCAAATCACTTACAATATTTTTTCCTTTGTATTTGAGATTTCATAACCAGTTCCCTCAAACATACTTGCATATAAGGTAAATTGTAACCTTAGTGAGTCTCTAATCTAGAAATTAGATATGTACAAAACATACTCTTTCCATCCAAATTGTTCTATTTGAATGAACTTGTACATATTCACATGACAACCACAATTAACATATCACTTTCCATCCAAATTGTTCTATTTGAATGAACTTGTACATATTCACATGACAACCACAATTAACATATCACATACAATCGCAATAAATTACACCAAAATTGACCACTAAATAGACACAATATATTTTATTAATTTTTGATCTAAGTACAGCCAAACCATAAGAACACATAGTATAATCAACTGAACAATGAAACATGACACGTTACAAGCAATTCTGAAGAAACTATACAAGAGTAAAGAGTACAAACAATCCTATTATAAAAATTAACATCTTCTTCCTCTTTTCTTCTGCAAGCTCACTCATTCCCTTCCTCCTCCTCCTCCTCCCAGCTACAGCACACCAAGAGCTTCGCCGCCCCTCATCGAATCAAACAACTTGCAACACTCCTTATAATCCTTCCCCCTCGCGTACAAATCTAACATTACCTTCTAAGAAACCAAGCTCTTCTTAGGCATCGAGTCGAAAAACCCACGAGCAAGTGCAACGTTAGCATCCCTCGCATACTTATCAATCATCGAATTCCTCGTAACGACGTCCCACTTTGGCATAATAGAAAACACCTCCCTCATCTTCTCCATCATTCCCACACTCGTGTATCCCCCTATCATAGTGTTCCAAGAAACCAAATCATTGTCACGCATTTCGTCGAACAACTCCCGTGCACCCTCCACCATCCCATTCTTGACACACCTGTCGATCATCGAGTTCCAAGTAACAATATCAGTCTCCTCAACGAAACCCTCAAACAACTTCCAAGCGCTGCCCAGATGGCCAAAGCAAGCGTACATATGAATCGTCGAGTTCCGAACATACAAATCCTCTTCAAACCCCAGCTTCACGATCTGGGCACGCAACAACATCTCATTTGGAGCAAGACCGAGGTGAGAGAACAGCTTGGCAAGCAGAGGACTTGGGAATTAAGGAGGAAGGAATTAATGACGGTGTTGAAGATGAATGCGTCGGGGTTTGGGAGGAGAGAGAAGAGGAAGGCAGCGAGGAGAGGAGAGGGCAGAGAGAAGGCGAGGTGTTTGATGAAATGTCCGACAATGAATGGATCATGATGGTGGCCGGAGGTGAGGAATTGGGCGAGGACTTGGGAGAGAAGGGGAGGGGAGTGGATGAAGGAGACGAGGGCGTTGATGATCGGCAGAGGGTTTTGTTTTTGTTGAAGAGAGAAGAGAGAAAGAGAAAGAAAGCAAGGGCAATTTTGGGTTTTCAAATTAAGTTGCTTTCTGTGCTGTCTGGGGGATGAAAAAAAGGCTGAAACATTATTACTTTATGTAATAAGGGCTTTGGCATACAAAAAAAAGTATGGAGGGCCTGGTCACATCGCCTTTATTTTTGGGGGGCCTAGACACAATTTTCCCTTTAAAAATTCAAAAAAAACCCTAGGCTTAGAGCACCAAAGCAAACCTCGGAATGGCTTTTGCAACTCATTAAATTCAGTGTGTTTTTCCTTTCTTTTCTTTTTTTTCTTTTGAAATTAACTTTTATTAGTTCAATCTACGAGGAGGTAGAAGAAAAGAGAAAACTCAAACGCAGAGATTCAGTTTAAAGGATCTCCGATCTGCAAGGATCTAGAATTTGATAATCATAATTTCTAAACTCTGGACGTGCAAGTATCATACGTCATATGTGCCTTGCGGACCTGCTATTGTGGGTACGCATATTCAAATTCTAAATGATGCACACTCGACTAAAAAGAACTAAGTAAACATAATATTTTTACAAAGAAAAAAAATTAGATCAAAGGTGCTTCTCCAAGATCCCAAATTAACAAACGCACACGACTCCTGGAAAAGAATGAAGCCAAAAAATGAAAAAAAAAAAAGCAACAACCTCACATCACATACCACCACACATCGCAAGTTACAATTTTTACCAGCCCAAGCACTTTACCAAACTTACACCTGTACAAAAATACACTCCCTAATACTACACACGCAAATATTTTTTCGTTCTTTTTTTTTCTGAAAGCGTTTAAGGTCCTGGCCTTCCCTGAACTAATGAGACTTCCAGATTTTTTTTTTCTTTTTTCTTTTCCCGGGTTCGGGTTTCTTAGGTACATCCTGAGCTTGCACACTATAACAAAAGTTGAAAACGAAAAGAAACAGTACACCTCATCAAAGAAAAGAGTCCGTATACTGATACTGGTGTCTCCTCCTGAACTCTAAAAGGCTCCCATAAGTTCGGTCTGCTATACCGACAAAGAGAGCTTCAGTATCAGGACTGAAACTGATACCCGCAATCTCACCGAAAAGATCAATCTCTTGAGCCTCGCAATAACCAGCCCCAACATCAAATACGTGAACAAAGTCTGCTGGCTCGGCCATGGCCATGAAACGACCATCGGCTGAAAACTTGATTCCACGGATTGCTCCCATCCGTCCCTTGAGGACGGCAAGGGACTCGGATAATTTCCTTATATCCCATAATCTGCAGGTTTTGTCTTGATTCCCTGTAGCCAGTATGTGGCTATCGGGGTGCCAAGCAGAAGAGAAAGAATAGTCCAAATGGCCCTTTAGATTGCCGATCATCTGCAGTTGTTCAGAGAACCAAATAGCTTAAGAAAAAGAAATTGATGCAACAAGAATGGCTCGAGAAGATATTATACTTACTTTTCCCGATTGAGCATCTGCTATTAAACAATCTGTGTTGTCTCCGAGGACAGCAAGAAACTTCCCATCTGGGCTAACTGAGGTACTCTGCGATAAGTTAAGGATATCAGTAAACTACACAGTTATAGATTATATTATGAACTATAGTTACATGTAAACTCGAGGTCACTAGAGTACTCACATTTATGGACCAAGAATAGGAAAGCCGATTGAGCAAGGCAAAGTTGTTGGCATCAAAGATCCTCACATAACAATCATTATTAGCAGTCATCACTCGAAGGGAACCGCTGAAGGGAAAAATTAGTAAGATGTAGACTCAAGGGTAAAAAACAAGGAAAAAATTGCATAACACTCCCCACACCTATACCTTCACTAGCACTTACCACACCTCAACTATTTTTGTAGAAAATCATAATGGAAGGGGGTTATTTGCAATTTATTCTTCTCAAAATGCTAACTCAGGGCTGTTAAGTGCTACTGAAGCTATAGTTGAAGGGGATTCTCCACAATTTACTCTCAAAACAAGTACAGAGAATGACGAATGATTTCTTACTTCCGAGCGCAATAAACATCTACGGCATTGGTGATGGCATTATTCTCATTGGTTACTTTTCCGCAGAACGCGACTCCAGGATTATTTAGGTACTGGCAAAACAGCAGGAGTATGTCAACCCTTATTTTGTAGATAAATCTAAAAAGATAACCACATATGGCCTCTAATCTACCTTATAAATGAGCTCCCCTTGAAAACCACCAGCAACTATCAAGTTATCTTTCACAACCATGGTGCTGATTTGTACTCTAGAAAGTGGGTGGGCACATGAAGATCCATACTTCTGCAAAATAGTGAATTAGGATGATGTTAACCTTCGTAAAGAAAAAGCCCGTTCTCTGATTGTTTTCCCTTTTTTTTAAAAAACATTTCATGTCAGTGTTTGCACACCACCGAATGAAGTAAAAATAATAATCACCTGAGTAGGGACAATTTTCCCAGATACATTTAGCACCTCTTTGCCTCTTCGAAGCAGTGATGACCAGTGCATTACTGAGTAGTTCTCCATCATGTAAACATCATGCTTTGATGTGGCCCACAAGAGATTCCTTAACTGCAAAAACATAAGATGTCAGATATCACTAACAGCTACAATTAAAGAAAAACAAATTATTTACGGAGTTACTCTAACAGACCCTTTTTCGCCAGTAGCTAAGTTTTACTTCAAACCAAAATTATTTAAACGAGTACCATATTTGCACTTCATTGCTATTGAGCACTAACATAATTTCATCAAACATTTCATTGGACACCCTACCTACTGATTAGTTGAACATGCTACTCGTTAACAAACAAACACCACTCTTTCTCTATTTGACTTCCACAATAAAAAACAACATAGTTGTGACCCTTGTTCGAACAATGAATATAATAGTCATCCAACGACACAGTTAATGCCCTCTTGGATTGAACCACATAACAAAATACATCGTGTCTCGAGCTGCTCAAACAGTGCTCGAGGAACATCAGTTAAAAACAATTGAAAACGAAACGAAGAAGTTGGAAAGGGACAAACAAGAGGTCAAAGGGATTCCTCAGATAACACAGTTCATTATATCACTAATTGAAAACTCTCTCATATGACAAACTGGTAAAAATTGGCATGCTCAGTGAACAGTCCTATAAGTTTTACGTGTCAAAACACCTAATGATTAATCGGAAAACCATAAACTGAAACATGTGCTAAGACACCTGATAACAAGAGCATAACCCTGAGATGTCACTTTATCCCTTGAGACTCCCTCATCTTATTGTTAAAACATGTTACCACTGGACTATCGCCTAGTCAAATAGGAAAGAAAGATTTGGCAATTGTAAAATTACACTTCATGGGCTGTCCTCAATCAGCAGACTCTCCCTTGAAGAATGGTGGATAAAACAGAACACAAAATCATAGCAAATCGCTTGTATGGAAGTGATAGGAAGAGTTATGCATTCAGTGTCATATCACCCAGAATTACCAACTTATAAATCACTTTGATATCTAAGCAGGTTTTTCATATTAAATTTTGCACATGAGTAATGACATACAATACTAGAAGTGGTTAATAAGGGAGATTTGCTACAACATGCATGCTATGAAAATAACAACGCCAGAAAGTAACATAAGGCTTCACGAGGACCTAAGAACTAGTGTCGGAAAACATATAAACATTAGCCCTGATATGTTTTTTTTTTAAGTCAATTAAAGGTGCCAGCTCCAGAAAGTGCAGAGCACAGCGAACATCCTGGTATGTTGGTTGTAGAGAAGTCAAAATGACTGTATGATATCCTTATCTAAGGTGCTAAATAAAGCAGGAGATTCCAGAGTTAAACCATTCAGAAAAATAATTTCTGAAAATCAAACCAGAAAATGAGCGAAAGAGCACACTATAGAAACATATTCAACAGGACAACTCATTCCGTTGCATGATTCATGCATCATGTTTCATCTTAAGTTGACTCCTGAAAATGAAGAGATAAAGAACACTTCAGATAGCAATCTCACTTTGTAGTGAGCTAACACAGGTAAGGTGAGATGTAGTTGGAAATAAAACGAGTTCTCTCACAACCATAATTTCCAGTCAATCAGAATAAGATTTAAAGTAAATCTTCATGGGGTAAAATAATAAGAAAAAAGTAAATAAATGCTAGGTAGATGTGGCTGACACTTGAAAAATAATTGTCATCACTAAATGTAAGTTGAAAAAGGCTGTGCTCCTTAAGTACTTAGAAGACAACCAAGAGCAAGTGAGTGAATGTCATTCGGTAATGTTTATCACAAGCCTAAAGATGCAACCTACAGACACAAACGCTCTAATATCTGACCAACAGGACAAGGAACATAATTGCTTCTACTCTCCAAGGCAAACTTGACAAGAATATCACCAATTAGAATCCAGATACCACATAAACCAGAAAGTGAGGCTAACAAGTCCTAACAGCCAAAAATAAAAATAAAAAATAAAGAGGTAAAGGGGAAAGGGAAAATAAGCATTGATATGTAATGACTAAAACCTAAGTTCAAGAGAAACTGACCTCTCTCATTTCCCAAATTATGCAAAATGCATCGATTCCTTTCCTTTCAACTTCAATTCAAGAAATTAAAACCACATACGATATAACATATTCTCCCAATTATAACCTTTCAACTATGTGCAATTTATGGTGACGCCAATCAATATATGAGAGAAATATGCATGAATCATCAATTTGAAATACACCTTAGGTACATGTCCCACTAAAAGAAGATGCTCAATACCCCTAGATGAGCAACAAGTACAAACAGATACTAGCAGCACATCATAGAGTATTTGTGTTTTATCCCCTAACTGGGGAGATTTATGTTAATGATGAGTGTCCATTTCAGAGTCAAATGATGTCAGTAGGGTTACATCTTTGTCCTTAAACACCAAACAGCAAGATTGCTACCAAAAATCAAGTCAGCATGCTCCCTCCATTCAGCACTACTTAAGAGAAGTAAAGAAAAATATCACTATATGAAAATCAAGAGTGGTGAATCTACTACATGAAGGACTAATATTGTATTTCCACAGTCAGTCAATACGTGAAGTTAAGAACCCATAAATCAGAGGTCATAATGTGAATAGGCGTGAAACAATTAAACAATTAAATAGTGAAACAACAGAAGTCATTTGTAAGAAGATATAGTGACATTTCTAATTTTATGACTATATATCAACTATTTAATGAGTATGTCATACAGGAAGAACATCTCTCCATCATGAACTGTAGGCATTCATATTGACAATTGAACTATGATGAGCATCAGATCGGACTAAAAATACAACATTTGCATAAAATTCAAATGCAAAAAAGGGTCATAAAAGAGTACATTACTAGTCTAACCATGTCGTACAACAGCGGCAAGTAATGGAAGCAACAAATTAGTGAATTCTCAGTATCACGCGCTTAATAGTAGCAAATACAATATGACTATGCATTTTCATATCAAAACTAAGAGGGCAAAAAAGAGACAATCTTAAATACGGAAAATAAATTTCATAATATAAATGCTGCAAGAAAATTGTCGGTTAGCCACTCATGATATCTCTGACATTTGAAGAATTATTCAGGCTTTTTCAAACAGAGGCCTCTGAACTACATAAATTTCCCATCATACCATATTGAAAGGCTCCACCTATCCAGCAGCTGCAGAGGAAGTAGTTCCGCCCTGCTTTCTAGTGCCTGACACAAAACATATTATGTGGAAGCACACTCCTAATACCATGAGTAGGTAAGAACAATATCTAAGCAAGCTAACAATCTAAAGAAGATTCAGAAAGAACACTGGCACAAGGTTCAGTATGCTAATTGCCAAATTCTGCTTCCAGGCAACTTGAATAGCAGATTATGCAGCATAAAAGTATTGATAATTACAAATATTTTAATAAGGGTAGACGTGACTATCGATGCTTTCGCACAGTTTTTTAGGTGAAATAATGAAACCTTCTCTAGTACTAACAATAAAAAAAACGATGCAAGTCCACAAATGCTAACCACTTATACAACTACCATAAAGAAATTTCATATAAGATCAAATTATTATTTAGTAGTGAACGAAATCTAAAACTAAATAAATGGAAATTTATCTCCCATGTTACATGATCCGAGAAACAGCATTGAATGAAGATGAGAACCATCAACTGAAGGGGAAGGAAAATATACACAGCCCAATACATTACAAATATACAAGAGATGAAAGTAACATGAACTGATATCTGACTACCAAGACAGAAAGTGAATATATGCAAGTGCAAGGTTCTATGAAGTCATGTAAACTTGAAATGGAAACCAAATGCTTCTAAATTTTGCTCGCAGCTTTTGACTTTTGACGAAAGAACTGGTTGAAGTAAATTCTGAAAGCACAATTGATGACTGCTTTTAACAATAAATTACTTGAGATTATATGCAGAAGAGAAGCGACCTTGAAACATGATGGTACTATGATTTTGCAACACTAAAAAAATTCCTAGAGCAAAGATTAAGGAATGCTGAGCAACTGGCACAGAGACTAAAGCACAAATGTTATATTAGCCTACAAACACGTCTCACGGAAAATCCATTCTTTAAAATTAAACTGCTTAAATAAAAACATTAGTGGTGTAAGCTAAATTGAATGATGCTGATGGTCTATAAGACACCCAATTTTCGTGATGGACACTCTCAATTGTATAGCATCGAAGACATCTACTATCTTGATAGATAGAACCACAACAACTTGATGTCATAATGAAGTCCTTTGATGTCAATAGATGAAATCCTTACCTCCTCTAAAGACAATGGTGATGCTTGAAGATGCAAATGCTGCATTAGTGTCACAGAGCTTATAAAGTCAGAATATATTCCATTAAATTATTAACACACTCATGTAGTCAGAACCTGCAAAACTAATAAGCCTCAACAAATAACAATATATATATATATATATATATTCTAAGAGAGAAACTAAGGAGCCTCAACAAATAACAAAGAAAAAATATTCTAAGAGCAAAAAATTGTTTAAACAGGTAATTTAGACAAATTGAGCTACATAAGCAGACAACAAACAGTAAGTTACCAGCCAAAGAAAATAATACAAAGATAACCTCACATCTTGATAAACTAAGTATGTCCCAACTGAGTGGAATAGTGGACAGATATGGGCCTGTCAATTCTCATTAGCTGCACTAAAACTAAAATCCCACTACAGAGTTGAGATAAATTTTCATATGGATATGTTATTTACTCATTAGGCCCATAATGACAGTTAAAAAAATAAATAAGACAAAAGAAACCAGTCTTACAGTTGGCTGCATCAGTATTGAAACAAACAAAAACTGCTCCTCATACATTGTGTCGCTTATGTTGATTTAAGTCTAGACCATTAAGATCACTTGACAAATTAAGGACAATCTACAGTATGACTATTGATGTTGTGAGATATAATGAAAAGTTACCCAGAATATGAAATTTATGACATATAGTGGAGTAAACTGTTAGACGCTTTGGACTCTTGAATCCCAATATCCATGTTATACAATGACAAGCTACCAGAAAAGAAATTCGAGAAAATGAGTAAATTAGTACCTGAAAATGTACAACGGTTGGCTTAACAAGTCTGGTATTAAACTGAAAGTCATAGAAAGTGCCTCCTGTCTTAACCTCCTGGTATTCCTGTATCAAGAGAGCACAGGCTTTTAACAGGAACTAAAAATAGAACTAATAATAGAACCTCTTGCTATCATTTAATACTCTAGAGCAAAAACTACCATGATCTAAAACAGTTGGAAGTACACTAGGTGCTAAAACATTTTCCAGCATCACCAGCCCAATAACAACGCACAATCCCATTTGATGATCTAATCCTTTCCCATGAAAAGAGGATAGGCTATGGAGTAAAACTTTAAGAAACATGTATGGAAATTTTGACAAATTTTATGACTGGTGGTGCATCTACATCAGCACCAAAATTTCAATATTACATAGTCGTATAAAAGCTGTATAAAGGTTTTTTTTTTCTTTTTCATTTATAACCTCAATCATTTGTAATATATCCAATGAATGGTTATTTTGATAAGGTTTCTGCTGAAGGGTTATTTTCGAGAAAAAATGGTCCAATTTTTGACTTTACTGTTCTCTTCTTTGGTCTTTTGAGATCAACTCACTCCTCTCGGTAGAAGCACGAAATCGAATCAACGGAAGAGAATGTTAGAGAAGATAATTACCAGAGATTTAACATCGATGGAAAAATTCACCAAATTGATTAAAATTCCAAAAGGTTGAGGAGATCGTTCTTGAAGAAAAGAGCAAAGTTAGAGGCGTGACACGTGGGTTTTGAGATAAAGAATGAATATATTTTAATTTTTAAAGGAAAAGATTTTATAAAAATTACCCTATTTTTTTCTCAAAATTTTGAGGGATGGAGGGGCGTAGCCCCACATGGACTGTATATACATCCGCCCCTTGATTTTTCTGTTCTTTTCTTTGGTCTTTTGAGATCAGCTCACTCCTCTCGATCGAAGCCCAAAATAGGAACTGGTGAGGTGGCAGAGAAAAACAAAAAAGGAGTTGGTGAGGTCAGAGGACTGTTAAGATTGAGGTGAGGGAGAGGTGAGAAAGGGTGAGGGAGTATAGAGGTACATGTACTATTGGTGAGGACAAGCAAGGCTGAGGGTGAAGGAGTGATGAGGGAAGTGTTACTGTGAGGTGAGGGATTTGCTGAAATTCATGGGAGAAGATGAAGGCTATAAAGGGCGAAGAGGAGGAAGAAAATTGTAGAAAACGGTGTCGAATTGTTCAATGTATTGAAAAATGTGAAAATTCAGCAGGCCACATGTGTGGTGCGTGCCACACCCAGGTGTGGCAGATTCTGCCATGTTGTTAGGGGTGTGGTGTGTGCCACACCTGGATGTGGCAGACTCGTTTTCAGATTCCCACCCTGTTTTGGATTGGGTTTATTATAAATAGAAACTAACGTTTTTAGGGTTTAGAGAGAGAGAGTTTAAGCAAAGAATTAGTATTGTTTGGATTACTTTGAGAGAGAGATATTGTGAGGGGGTTGAGATCTTTGGTTAAGGTTATATTTGAGAGTTTGTATGAGTTGTAACCCGTTGTAATTCTCCTTTATATAGTGAAATCTCCCCATTCTCTCCTCGTGGACGTAGACAATTGTCGAACCACATATATCTCTGTGTTTGTGTGATTTTGGTCGTTATTTTGGTAAATTACACTCGTGTTTGGTTTTGGTTATTCTCTCATCGTTCGCCGACTCGTTTAGTTTGCGAGCACGTTTCCGCACTGCGCGCGACAGTGGTAACAGGCTCAGATTTTCAGATGTAGGGTTTTACATTGGCTGAAAAAAGATTCATTGTTTGAAGCTTGGGTCTTGAAGATCTAGGCTTCGGTGGAAATAGCGTTGCGGAGTTGCCATTGGAGATCTTACTTTACTTGTGTGGTTAGGAGATCAAGTAGGAATCCTATCTATGATTTAGTTTGGGTAATTTCTCAATTCTATCAAGTACGAATCTTTCTTTACAATTGGAGTTAGTTTGCAATAGAAGAATAAGTTGGTGAAAACAACAAAGCGATGATTAGTACAGTTCAGGTTATACTTCAGAATACAAAGATTAGTATTATGAAGTACGATGGCAAAATCAACTTTGGTTTGTAAATGAGCGACGTACAAGATGCTTTGAATGCTTAAAATTTGGAAGAGACCATCATGGTTCATGAGAGGCCACCAAAATATGATAAGACGACATGGGACAAGATGAATCGAAACACTTGTGAGGTAATTAGATCTTGTTTAGAATAAGAGTTGAAATACGATGTGATTGGTGTGACGTTTGCGATAAAAATATGGGAGATTCTTAACAATAAATACCTTACGAAGAGTGTTAAAAATCGTTTACACATGCTGTAAAGATTGTTCAGATTCCAGATGTCTAGGGGTACCTCACTTGCGGATCATATGAACAACTACACAAAGTCGTTGTCGAACTTGTCGAACGTTGATGAGAAGATAACGGATGAGTACAAGACGATTATTTTGTTAGGCTCCTTACCCGATGAGGAGTATGATACATTCATGCTCATTTCGTTGAACGGTAAATCTTCCACCACATACAGTGAAGTGACTAATGCGTTAACGAATTACGATCTGAGGATGAAGGACAAAGAGACTTTCAGAACTAGTACTTCAAGAGAGGTGTTATCGATGAGAGGAGGGAGTCTCTATCCATGAGGTGGCAATAGAGGCAGGTCAAAGTCTAGAGGCCACTACCAATTACCAAAGAACCAGTGTGCTTTCTGCAAAGAACAAGGACATTGAAAAAGAGATTGCCCGAAGCTCAAAGAGAAGGAGAATAGCAAGAAAAATGGTCTGAAGGCCAATGTGGTGAACATCGCTAGAGGTGATGATTCAGATGATTCCTGCTTTTCTCTATTGATTACCCCAGAAGTGAACAATGCAGATGCATCGGATTGGATACTGAATTCCGGCGCTACTTATCATGTGACTTCCCGGCAAGATTGATTTGCATCGTTCGAGAAACTCGATGGGGGTGTGATGATCATGGGAAATGATCAATCATGTGGTATTTGTGAGAGAGGTACCGTCAAAATTCGGATACACGGTGGAGTTGTTCGTGAGTTGAATGAAGTGAGATTTGTTCCTCAGCTGAAGAAGAATCTTATTTTTGTTAGAGCTTTGAAGGCAAAGGGATTCAATGTGACTTTTGAGAATGCTGTAGCAAAAGTTATTAGGGGATCTTTGATAGTGATGAAGGGAGTCCGCAGTAGAAATCTTTATTATTTGAAGGGGAGCACCGAGATTGACCAGGTAGCTTCAGCTGTTTAGAGGCGGACACGAACAGACTTTGGCACTACAGATTAGGACACATATGTGAAAAATCACTACAAGCTTTGTGCAATCATGGGCTAGTGAAGGGAGCCAAGGGGGTAGATAGAATTCTGTGAGCATTGCGTTCTTAGCAAGAAGACAAAGGTAAAATTCGGGACAGCCGTACACAGGACGATGAGCATCTTGGACTACGTGCACACAGATGTTTGGAATCCCACCAAGACGACATCACTTGGTGGTCGACATTGATTCGTTACATTTGTGGATGACTATTCTAGACGTTGCTGGGTGTACACCATAAAGCATAAAAATGAAGACCTAGAGTTATTTGTGGAGTGAAAGAGGAGATTAGAACTGCAGACTAGGAGAAAGATCCCTTTTAGCAGCTATGTCAAGACGAGAACATAGAAAGACATTTCACAGTTAGTCATACGTCGTAACAAAATAGGATGGTAGAGAGATTGAATCGGTCTTTACTAAAGAAGGTCTGATATTTATTATCGCAGAGTGATTTGGAGAAGATCTTTTGGGCTGAGACACTTTCATATGTGATGTACCTCATTAATAGGCTGTATTCATCTGCGATTGGGGGGAAAACCCTATGAAGATGTGGTCGGAAGA